GCTCCCGGGCTTGCCTGCATTGTAGAGAAGGTTAGATTCCAAACAGAGATCCAGAAGTTATACTTGGCACCCCACCACAGATGGATGAACCTTCTCCAAAACTTGATCAACACGAATCTTCTCACTCTCGTGCACTACACGTAATAAATGATGTAAGCTTAACATGATGGGATGCATGACATGATGCATGATGAGAGACATTCAAGTGCATAACAGAAGTTAAACAAAGTTAAGTAGTTGAGTACAACTTTCCTTCACCAAAAAGCTAGGGTTATTATCATAAAAACATTTTAGTTAGTTAACTAACAAGTTAATTAGTTGTTATCATGAAAGTATTTAAGCTTAACATGGACTAGCAAGTGGCTCACATTTATCCTAACTCATGATTATTATAAGGAACCCATAAAACTAATTATTAATTAAGCCATTTTAATTATTATATAAACAAGTTGATTATAACACATCAAGGAAAGTAATTAAGCTACCAAGGAACAAGAAGGGTTTGGGTGTTCCAAGGTCCACAAACAATGCCCAAAATACACCAAAGCCATTTAAGTATTTTCCTAAATCATTTTAGCATTTATTAATAAAAGCAAAAGGCATTTAAAAATACTTAAATTAATTAACCAAGTTAGAATTATTAAAACAGTACCAAACTTTTTGTGAAGGTAGATATTAATAGGTTAAGATTACACAAAAAGTTTCATCATTAAAGGATTATTACTTTTATTTATAAAAATCATACAACAAGCATTTTTGTATTAAAAGATGTAATTTTTAAGCATACCAAAATTACTTATCATGATCAACTAATATTTTCTATGATAGAGCACATCATAACAAAGCTACACAAAAATTTTCACATTTTTATCGCCTCTAATTATTTAATTATGAATTAAACAAGAATCAACACATTTAATCATTTTCTGAAAAAGAATAAACCGGTGAAATCTTTTCTCACCCAGCTCACCCTTACCCCTAGCCACTGACATGCAGGACCCATGGTCGAACCGACCCTGCCTGCCTTGACTGTGACCGCGCCGATGGGTAAGCGGCGTAACTCATCAGCGGCGAGTCGGCCGGCGACGGGGAGGGCACCAACGTGACCCCACGACCTAGCGCATCGATCTAAGGTACTGGTTGAACACCTAGGGTTCCACGGCGAGCATAGCAGCGACCACAACAACCCAGCGACACTCCGGCACGGCGGAGACAACCGGCGACGAAGTCTCCGGCGACGAGGAGGCCACCAGCGCACTCGCCTCACTCACGCAAACACTCCTACGTTACTGGTTGAACGGCTTAAGGCCTCACGCGAGCATGCCCACGGCCTTGGCGGCACGGCGGGGAAGAACGCGGCGGCGCGACGTGTTCCGGCCACTAGGGCACGGTAGAGATAAAATGGAGGGCACGGTCAGCGCCAGGAGCTCACCGCGAGCATGCTCGGCTTGATGGTTGAAGCGAAGGTGGTGTGGATGCGGCTGCCGGCGGTGAGGACGAGCATGGCACCACGAACTGGACGGCGAGGTCGCGTTCTGGCGCGTCCTGTGGATGAAAGGAAAACTAGAAAGTCAGTGAGCGTCACGGCATCAAGGTGAAGCTGAAACGAAAGCTGGGGTGGCGAGAGGAGCTCCGGAGCGAGCTGACCATGGTGAGGTGCCCATGGCGACCATGGTGGCTCGGTTGCAGTGGCAAACGACGCCGAGGGCGATTGTGGTGGAGAGAGGTGACGCGAGCGGGTTTAGGCGAAGCGCAAGGGCGAGACGAAGTTGGAGGCGCGAGCAATTGGATGGAGGGCGAGCAAGCATGACGAATTTGGTTGGCGAGCTCTCGCTGTCTGGCGGTGGAATAGAGAGAGGAAGGGAGGAGACGGCGGCCGGGGTGGCTTAAAACGGTGCGGACGAGACTTCGGGGCAAGCCAGCAGCTGCTTGGAGCCGTCCGTGGAAGCAGCTGTGCGTCGCACGTGTGCAAGGCGGTGAGCGAGGGCGGCGGCCGACACCGAGCAGGCTGCTGCGTGGCAGCTGCTTGACGGTGCCTACTGTTCATGTCTGACGGCCCCTTTCCCTCTCTCATTTTCTCAAAATTTTTACACAGAAATGTGATGATCGGTCTTAAGCAAAGTTTTTCATTGATCAACGATCTCCAACTTTACTTAAAGGATCAGCACCAAAAGGTTGACGGTTTTGAAGATTTAGAATTAAGAAGATAGGTACTTTGAAACTGCGAAACTGAACTCGGGTTTAGGGTTTTGTAAATTGTTTCGATTAGCAAACTTTGGCATTTAATTAGTGATCAGTCATCAAACAAACATCACAAGCAATTGCATAACATCAAAGTCCACACTTCACACCAATTCATGGTACAAAAATTGCACAAGTTTTATTTATGAAAATTGGCTTAATAAATCTCCAAAGGTTGAACTTATTATCTAGTTTTCAGGGACAGCCATCAAAATGACTGTGGAGCCAGCATTAATTCAATTTTTGGAGCTCAAATTTCATTATGTTTGACTTGGAAACTCAAACAAACTTTTGTTCCAAATAAAAGAGCATACTTTAAACTACAAAGTTTATATTAACAAAATTTTAACTGTTTAAGTAAATTCACATATATAAATTCACAAATATTCTTAATCACTAACATAGACATCACTTGGTGCAACATATGAAACACGATATATGCAACATATAAATGCTATATTTGCAACATGAAATGCATTAATGCTTCAATGCTTGTTGATTATGATTGATGATGCTTATGATCAGAATTTTAGTTGCTTTTTAACATCTAGGATGTTACATCTGCTGCGCTAGCACACCATGTTGCATGAGATTTTTCAAATATGCTACTGTGTTTTCCTTTTTTTCCCAATCAAAGATCATTATTGTGTTGATCCCTTGACATTCAATCGTCAACTCTCCCAAGAACAAGATTGTTGTTGAATGCCCTCATAGACTGACGATGCTCACGGTCAAGCCCACCTTCCCATTTGCTGCCAATCCAGGATGTTGCCACTCATGCTGCCGGTCCTAAGAAAGAGATAAAGAGGAGGGAGAGATGAGACTGTGTGTTGGGCTGTACCGTTGCAGGGGGCTCTCCACAAAACTTCATGGAGGTTGCTGCAAAATGACAAGGTTACCGAATGTTGGCTTCTTCACGTTGAAATAAATATTACATCAAGGTTCTAGTAATAAAATACCCAAACACGGTTACCATTTAGAGAGAACAAGTCAGGCGATGATTTGAATTTTTCAAATGTAGAGGCCTTTTTTATAAAATAGACAATGACATGCGTCACTATGCGCAAGAGCCACCCATGCTCAGAATTCTCTAGAATGAACAGATAGAGGGTGCTTTTAATATACCAAATATATTAATGTTGCATATCTTTTCTCGGTGGTGCTTACGATAAATTGGTAGCATTAGTTTGGACACAGCTAAGCATTGCCAAAAGAAATTATTACTCACAGTGAAGCAAATAAGAAGTTGTGAAATGGTGCTAGTTATGACAACCAAGAATGAAGCATGCCATAATGAACCATCTAAAGAAATAAATGCCAAAGATGATGATATCTAGATTATTCAATAAAATTAATGTATGTATGTATATATACATCATAGTTTAGTAGTATGAATAATGTACTATATCACTTAATAACTGTCTACTTCCAGATATTATATTATATTTAATTGTATTTAGTGCTTCAACTTTTGATGGGCAATTTAGTAATTTCCATGGCCACAGACATTGTTAAATACCCGCGGCTGCTACTATTCCAATTTTCAAGAACCATATTCCAATAGTTTCCTGTTCTCGGTGCCGGTGAAGGGAACGGAGGCTTACCTCAAAGGTATCTATTGATGATTTTTCCATTTTTATTTGTGTTTTTAAGTTGGATTTTGCTATGGTAGTCTAAAACAATTGTGAGACATTCATTTAATTAGATCGCATGGTTACAATCATCTATTACCTTCAATTAGTAGCATATGATATGTACGCTCACCACCTAAATCAAGGTTCCCCCACCCTCTAGTGCCGAAGAGGCCACCAAAGGCGAGGGGGAGCCGCCGAGATTGGCGCCGGAAAGCACTCACCCTCGGTTCGCCCTAATCTACTGTAGCAAGGGGAAACGAGTTGAGAAAGGGAAGACCATGGCACATTAGCTTTTTATGCATGTAACGCCTCCATGTTAGCTGTGTCGCGTGTACCTCTTGTGTTAGCTGGCATGTCAAGCTTAGGCGGTGATTTTTTTATTCATGTGCGTGTTTTTCCCTGACTTCCATTAGTTGCCAATTTTTTTCATACATATAACGTGTTTTTCTAATCACGCATGTAACGTGTAATGTCCCTATATTTTTGCTAGTTAATATTATAACAAACCATATTATTTGATAACATGTCATGTACATAAATATAATCCACCGGCCACAGTTGGTAATGTTAGCGAACTGTCATGGAACATGTATAACTCAAAACCATAGTTAACATTACATGTTTATTACATGACTTGTTTAACGATTTTGACGTATTCCTCGACATGACTTTTGTGTACTTTTTTTAAGATAGAAATTTGTATGTTAGTGTAACGGTGTGTATACATTATGAACTTGCTAAAAAGAACTTTTGTGGTACCTATGGCCAATTTTAACCTTGTAACTTGACGGGTTCACATGCACCATGATATAGGATTGATAGTTGTATCATGCATAACATATCATTGATACAGATGGGAAAAGAAATCCGGATAGCGCTATTTACCAATAGTTCGAATTCGAATACAGGATACCGATATTGTCAGATGCGAATATCATATCTTAGGCTATATTTATTTATTTAACTAATTAATTTATAAAATTAAAAAAATCAATGGTTCAGATGTATGAAAGTATCACCTCCTAGTTGGTAACCGGAAGTATAGTAACATTACCCTTTAAAGTTACTATAGTGATGAGGACACTGATCATACCTTTTCATCTGCTAGTACAAGGATTTAAAGCCATGGAGGAAGGGCAGCAGCAGGTCAATGCTTATACTGATGAGGACACTGATTACACTGATAATGAAGACTACAACGACGAGGACTACACTCTAGAGCCCGAGACGGCGTCCAAACGCCAGAAGCGCCACACTCCGGAGCAGATCCGAGAACTCAGAGCGTAATACAGTAGAACCAATTAAATCAAACGAGAAAGAATTAATTAATGTTTGCTTGGTTTATTACTTTGGAGTTAATTGCTTGAGTGCCCAGCCCTTTATATCTGTCTTGTGTTGTGCAGTGCATACCAACAGAATGACCACCCAGACGAGCCGACACGGTGCGCGCTCGGCGCAAAGATCGGCTTGGAGGGCAGGCAAGTGCAGTACTGGTTCGAAAACCAGCGTTCCCAGATGCAGGTCACAGTCACACACATCTTTTCATTCCATTCCATGCATGATAAAATGTACAGCTAGTAGTGGAAAGAACTGACGGTTGCAGTTTCTTTCAAAATTCCTGCAGGCGAAGGCTGTGGTACAGAAGAGCAAGGCGGCTCAGCGGGAGAATGCTGCACTGACGGCCGAGAACATGTCGCTTCGCAAGGTCATACTGACCAACTCCTGCTTCTCATGCGGCGGCGCAATGGTGCCCGCCGAGCTGCCGGCCGAGAACCGGCGCTTGCTGAGGGAGAACATGAGGCTCAGGGGCGAGTGCATACGCGCCACCGCCCTGCTCAACCAGATCTTGCGCTCGGCACCCCCAGCCGAGCGGCGCCCACCAGCAGTCGTCGCCTGCCGCCCTGTGCTGTCCGTCGGCGAAGGGGCCAGCAAGGCCGACCGCGCTGCTCGTCTCCGCAGGCACGCGGAGGCTGCCATGGACCAGTTCCTACTGCTCGCGACCAAGGGGGAGCCGCTGTGGCTGCCCACCCCCGACGGTGAGGAGCTCAGCTACCTGGGGTACCAAAAGAAAGCGACACTCCCGGTGCACCATGGGTTCTGCCCGGACGGATTCATCATGGAGGCCACCAGGGAGACTGGCATGGTCAGAGCCTTTGTCGCCGACCTCATCGTCATGCTTACAGACGCGGTACGTGCGTGCACATGTACACACATCTTCGTTCTCCCATCCATGCATTCCTGCAGCAATCGCACTGCTAAATATGCATCTAAAGTGGCTTTAATTTGGTGCTCGTGTTTGTGTTGTTTGTCGATCAGAAGCGCTGGTCTGAGATGTTCCCCGGCATCGTGGCTGGTGTGACCGCCAATGGTGCCATCTCCGGTGGCGTCTTGGGTTCACGTATTCAGCTGGTGTGTTCGGTTCGCATGCATATTCCATTCGACATCTGTGTTTTTTTAGCCAGCGATATATGTGTTGGTCGTTCAACTGACATTGTGGAGCACCGATCGAGCACTTGCAGATGAACGCAGAGCTGTGGGTGCAGTCGCCACGTCCGCTCAATCGCAGCATCAACTTTCTGAGGTATAACAAGCGGGTGGCCGAGGGGCAGTGGGCTGTGATGGACGTGTCCGTCGACGGCATCCTTGGACCGCTAGGCAGCCGCACCGCTGATGCCGCCGCTGTTGCAAACAACACAGGCTGCAGGCTGCTGCCGTCCGGCTGCCTCATTGAGGACATGGGCAATGGCTACTGCAAGGTAAGTACAGTCCAACTCCAGCTTGTTACTACAATCCCTCCATAAACAGTAATTATATTTTAGAATTCAGACCTTCAGCTTGAAATTCCCTCGTGCATTGCAGATCACATGGGTTGTCCACGCGGAGTACGACGAGACCGCAGTGCCAACAATGTTCAGGCCACTGCTCCGCTCTGGGAAGGCTCTCGGCGCGCATCGCTGGCTCGCGTCGCTGCAGAGGCAGTGTGAATACCTCGCTGTTCTGCACTCCATCCAGGTCCCAAGAGGCGACAACGACAACACAGGTGAGTCATGTCATGGACAACAAGGAAACTGTCCATATATAACCTCTGATTTCACTTTTCATATACTCTTGGATTAATTGCTGGGAACAGTAACATTTGACCGATATATATATCGGCTTTGTTCTTGAAAGCTTCCACTGCAGCTGCCATTTCGTCAATGGGGAAGAGGGGGATCCTGGAGCTGGCACAGAGGATGATGACGGTTTTCTACTCGGCTGTCTCTGGTCCCGTCACTCAGCCGTCCAGCAACCTCTACGAGTGGCCTGCTAGCGCTGGCACAGGCGCCAGAAGGACTGACGCAGCTGTGCGCATGGTGACCTGGAAGAAAGCCGGCAGCGTGGCTGACCTGGTGCTGAGCTCCAGCACCACGGTGTGGCTGCCGAACACGCCGCCGCAGCTTGTGTTCCAGTACCTCTGCGATGGCCAGCGCCGCGGCGAGTGGGACGTCTTTGCCAATGGCGAGGCGGTGACTGAGCTCTACTCTGTGGCCACGGGCCATCTCCATGGCAATGCTGTCTCCGTGCAATACTCCAATGTGAGTTTATTATTTGCAGTACGTTCTAGCTAGCAATGCTATCACAGCAAAGAGTCACTGGATATATATCTATCTGATTCAATTCTGTTGCAGGTGATGACCGATGGAACCGACAGCAAGAAGGTGCTGATCTTGCAACAGGCGTGCACCGACGCGTCATGCTCCACGGTGGTCTACGCTCCCCTCGAAGAGGATTTCATGCGTGCGGTCATGAACGGTGGCGACCACGCCTCTGTCTTCCTCATGCCGTCTGGGTTCGCCATCCTTCCGGACGGCCATGGCAGGGCTCGCCATGCTCCGCGCTCCTCCAGCGCTCCCGTCGGCCGCGACAACACTGCTGGGTCCCTGCTCACTATGGCATGTCAGGCGCTGCTGCCCGGTTCATCCCCGTCTGACAACCATGCCGCTGATGGGGCCTTCGACGACGTTGGCAAGCTGCTCTGTCATGCACTGAAGAAGATCAAGGCTGCCGTCAAGGCCAACATCGTCATCCCAGCTTGATGCAAGGGGTCGGGCACAATGCCGAATAATGCTTCTACCAAATTTGAGACTCGCCGAGAGAATAAAAACATTTAGACTTGGTTATCGACGGGGTAGTCCCCTTTTCGGAACATTATCGTCATTCTCGTTTTCACCATTTTATTGCTTTTGTCATGGATTTGTGTTGGTTTAATAATATGGATTATGTTAGGATGGTTTGTCATAATGTTTTCTTGTAGTGATCTGGTTACTTACTAGTACTTGTTGCTTGAAAATTTCAGTTTTTCTTCACTATGAGCTTGCCATCAGGTTTTTCGGTTTGCCTTGGTGTCATGGTATTTTGCAGCGCAGGTAAGTTTCATGGCAGTGTCCAATTTTAAATTGATCGGAGGTTGTTCGTATCAATATCCATTTGAGAATCTAAGTTAAGATGTGTCTTGGTTTGCACAATGAGTGATTATTGGTTAGCTAAATTCAGCCAGATTAGGCCCCAGATGTAATACTATGTTGATTGGATGCCTGGTTTAGCAGTTGGGTGGTTGGGCTCTTGCCTCCTTCATGCAAAAGTTGTTTTCCAAGCATGTTTGCCCTGTATGATGAGGATACTTTTGCAATCATGTTTGACCACTATCACTATCTTGGGCACATTATGGTAAGTGTTGAACGTAAATATTCTGTTCACATATTTAACAAGCTCACAAATACATTGACTAGCTAACTGGTTCCTTGATTTCCCTTTCTGTATGATCATCCTAAAGATGCTGAGCTACTCAACACCCTTCATCAAGTTCTATGCTGAGATGGAAACCATCTTTGGCAGCGGCATGGCAATAGGCCGATTTGCCCATGGGTCCAATAAACCTCTTGGGGTGAGCTTTATACAGGCTGACAGTGCTGCTGGCAGAATGGAAGGCACATCAGTGAATCAAGGGGGTGATGAAAAAGTCTGAGTTGGGGGAGGGCACAAGGCATGTGTTGACCTCCAATGGTGGAGGTAAACACAAAAGGTCATACTTCGATGAGAATGAAATCCTACTCATGGCAACCATGAATGATGTTGCCAACAATGTTGCCAATGCCCTAAGGGAGACTGGGCCTGCTCGATGCAGACATGTACCATGCTATCATGAACATGTCTGGATTCACAGAGGAGGCCCTCATTGTAGCCATCACTGTTGGTATCTGAGACCGACTGGGGTGTACACTACACCGCCGTATTGGCTTATCATCCGTCCGTGATAAGGTCCTTACTTCCATCGCATTGGACCACGACCCGCGTCTGTAGGTATGAACTAACACCGCCGCATGGCTTATAATCCGTCCGTGATCAGATCCTTATTCCGTCGGATTGGAGCGTGACCCACCTGTGTCGAGGCGAACATCACCGTTGCTTCAGCGTATGAACCGTCTGGTCATAGGGTATGGTCACCATCGCGTTGCAGTACGATCCGCTCGTGATGATCCTTTAGTCGGTGTCGGGTTACTAAACGATTCTGCGGTGATGCACTATTGACTCCTGCCGCATCAGACGAATAGTGATGGTGATGGCCATCTGCTTCACCAAAGGCAAGTGATACGGCGGTGATGACAAAATAACCAACGGCCTTTACATCCGACGGTGACAGAATTGCATCCGGTTTTCACAATGTATTTACTAATTCAGCTGGGCCTTAATAACTTACTGAACACACACCATATAGATATAATCATTACACATTATTCATTATATCCACAATGAAGAGTACTTGTTATAATAACAATGTTCGATACTAACACAACAACTGTGTCAACTGATAAATTAACATAAGTGGTACATAGATAGCATAATAAAGGTTCTGCTCCCTACAGACTTACGTAACTAAAACGAGGTAGATGTGCTCCACTCCTTCAGATTGGCACTCCTTGATGAGCTTGGCAGCCAATGCCGCATGGAACCCCTCTTCTTTCTCCCATAGCCATTGCAGAAAAATCGTTCAAAAGCACTGAGACTCCAAAACCTGCACAATGCAAAGCAGCAGAATTAATAATATTCAACATACCATTGGTTTAGTTACCAAGCCAAAATTGGACTATATATAGACTCAAAACAACTCCCTACCTGAACAAAGACATGTCCTAACAATAAAATACAACATATGAATCTTTACTGCTCTGCTAATGACTCTATGAACAAGGGAACATAAGGCAGATAGTGAGGTCCGTTCAAATAAATACTCCAGGTACTTTTAGGATAGCGGACGACCCGGGCAGGGAGGACATGGACTTTTGTACGGCTCGTGTCATGTGCCATCAATGTTATGTCATCCCTAACAAAGAAAATCAAATTCCATTCTAGGTGAAGTACAATCACTCTGTAGTCCACATTGACAGCCTCGAAACCGAGTCCAATATTGCTCAGTCCAAATAGCTGTAGCATGTTCACTGTATGCTTCAATATCCATTTACTAGTACCATAGTCTTCAAGGTCCAGATTGAAAGGTTAGACGTATTGAAAATATCAGTAATACATAGACACAACTGACCCTGATCTCCATGGATGGACATTGCAGGACCTGGTGGCCAAAAAATTTTCCTCCATGTCTTTTCGTCCATATCAACAACAACTATGTAGGACATCTCCAGCATGTGCATAAAACCATTAAGAAACACAGTTCCTGAAAATTTGCATACTAGAATATCCTCTCCCCATTCAGATTCTTTACACATCCATGCTCTAGTTTTGGATGAGTAAGTGCTGACATCTAACACCCCAAGTGACCTTACCCATAGTTCTACCACATGGAAGTGCGAGGAGATTGTGGGATCGAACCCCAAGCGAGCTAAACCATAACAAAGGTTGCTATGCGGCAGTACCACTAATTTGCTAGTCACCGGATTGTAGACAACATAGCAAAGCCCAACGCACCAGCAGAGGAAGAGGACTCTGCAGCAATCTGAGATGACTGAATCCTGAATGGGGAAGGGCAAGAAGGAAAAGGAGGGGTATTCATCGGTGAAGCTGGTGAATCAGCGTTTGCCTTTCTAGTTGCCATACATGAATCCGACGACAAACTGAGGTAGCTCCTTACGGTGCTCGAATTCAGAGATGAGACGATACCAGGAGTGACACATACACTTGTAGCTGCACAAGGTGCGGGAGGTGAGGTGGCGGAGGATAAGGACCAAGACATCGTCTATGAGGATGTCTACTTCATTCCTCTTGTTGGTGGCCTCCTCCTCCATCTTGACTAGGATGTGGTGGAGAGGGGCCGGCGATGGAAGCGGCAGCGCTGTCGCCTGAATCAAAGTAGGAGCACCTGCAAGGATATGCTCGTGAGCTCCTTAATGATCAGATGGAAGCTTCATTCATACTCAGATGAGATAAGAGGAGAATAAAAAGCCAAAAAACATGGATAAGGGAAGTGCAAGAAAGCATTACCCTTACCTTTGGATTTTGCAGCAGTGAGCTTGAGCGGCCATGGTAGTGATGAGTATAGCCTGGTCATCGGTGGATCTATGCGGGAGTGCTGGTGTGGCGCACCGGTGCGGAGCACTAGCTTATCGGCAGTGAGTGGCGGCTTGCATGTCGATGAGTAGGTGAGGAATAGCAGCACTTGAGGAAGAGACGGACAGGGTGGTGGCTGGGTGGGTAGCGGTCTTTGTAAGCTAACTAAAAATGCACCAAAAATTCTAAAAACATGTGGGAGTCTCGCGCTGGCTTGCAAATTTTGATGATATCGGTGGTGAAGGCTACCGGCGGTGGTGATTGGGTCTTAACGAAGATGGTACGTAGCACCTAACGACGGACATGTCATATAGAAATTGAACATTGGAAAGGAACACAATATTATGAACATTATTTTTATAGGTTACAGCAAGAAGATGTTAGCACCTAACGGCGAATAGCGACGGTGATACAATTTTTTCAATGATGCTTATATCCGATGGTGACATAATTGTACAATGTTGATACTAACAATGTTCAAAATCAACAAAAGACATTCTTTTTTGATTAACTCTGTTACACTTTTGATTCACCATGCGTACAATAACAAGGATCTATCAGCAACTATAGTTATGATGACAAAAACCTTGGTCCTGTTCTTCAGCACTACTTCAGCAGTACTTTTCAGCGAACGAACAATATTTTTCTCTCACAACAAATTAGCATAAGCATCAGCATAAGACAAATTTTAGCGATGAGCATAGGTTTATCCCCGCACTCAGTGATGGACATCTCGTGAAGCGTAGAACCCAGACGAAGGCGTAACTAAACCTTCACCATGCCTCCAGATCTTTGCCATGAGTAGGGACGACGCCTGGAAGAAGCCTATGGAAGAACCACCTCATGGAACTCCCTCTAACATCCTAGAGGATGAGGAGCCCCGCGAGGAGCCTTGCCCACGATGTCTTCTTCATCGTCAGGGAGAAACGCATGGCACGGCGTCGAGGGATCCCAGGTGGAGATCTATGGGCTCAAAAGGTTTCCCAGCAACAACAAGGCACCCTCCACCCTCTAGGATTTCCTACAGATATTCTAACCTAGAAGTCTCCCGCATGCCGACCATCAATGAGCCTAGCCACCGTGTCACCGGCGACCCAGGCCACCGAAGATGGTATTGTTCTTCCCCATCTCTTCGTGGAACTTCCTCTAACACCCAAGACGAACGCCCACCAGCAGGCCACTATAGAACCCAATCTTGAAAGCCTTCTCCTAGCAACGGTGGAGCCACCGAAGTACGCCATGAACCATGGTGGATGAAAGGAGTTTCCGCTATCTCACTTAGTCTAATGCTAAGGGATTTGGAGGGAGGGGAGGGGAGGGGCAAGAGACTCAGTGCACCCTGACCCGGCTTAAATAGGCCAACCTTGAAGATGCACCTAGACTCAATGCAGTTAAGATGCGTTATCTAGGGAGCACGTATCAAGGAAGACGAGGTATATGACGGTTCCTGGCATAACAAGTGGTGGGGATGGTGTTGGAATTTGGGACATTCAATACTCACCTTGAAGATGCACCCAGACTCAGTGCAGTTAAGATG